AGCCATCTCTGCGTGAGTGCTATTCACGACAGTACAAGTACTCCACAGCGACTCTAGGGGTCGCTGTTTGACAAAAACGGAATTCCTACTTAGTGCTGCTTTAAAACTCACACTCTGTGGTCTCGCACACACACACAAAAAAATTACTCTCCAAAACTGTATGACTTTTTTTTCCTGCAGAAAACGTCAACAACACTTGTTTTCTGTAGATCTGCTTTATAGCTGAATCAACAACAAAAAAAAAAAATCACGATTGACACATTTTTCAGACTGATCTCATGAAATGGCGTATGTATGACACGCCAATTCGTATTTCCATTTTTGGCGTGCTATCAACACGCATAATCGCTTTTCAGCGTGTTTATCAACGCCTTTGACTTAACGTTATATTACTGTATTATGCATATATAAATATATGACCTACCCCAACCCCGTCCCTAAACCTACCCGTCACTGGGGTTAATACCATTTATGAGTCTTCTCCTACCATCCTAGGAAAAGAAATATCGCTCCACAGATGTAGATATAGATTTTGCTTCGTTTTGCTCGGACATTTAACGGCGTAGACATACACGCGGAATCACTCGGACATTTAACGGCGTAGACATACACGCGGAATCACTCGGACATTTAACGGCGTAGACATACACGCGGAATCACTCGGACATTTAACGGCGTAGACATACACGCGGAATCACTCGGACATTTAATGGCGTAGACATACACGCAAAAGATTTCAGCGTGGACATACACGCGGATAGCTCAAAATGCGTATAGATAAAGTTGAATTGAAAGTGGCGTGTATGTTTACGCAAAGTCATGATGTCATGTTGCATTTTTACAACATGACACTGTTCTTGAACTGAACTGAATCAACACTGAACTGACTAGAGCTGAATGTTGACACTGTTGTCTTTTTTAGAGCTGTTTTACAGCAGAATTATTGATTTTGTTATGGTCCTGTTTATTACTGTGAAGCTGCTTTGAAACAATCTTGTATAAAGTGCTTTATACATAAAGTTGATCTGAACGATGGGTGTATTGAATGCTGAAGAATGGTGGGGTCCAAACAACACAGGAGAACCCCATTGACTTTCATTTACAGACAAAAAAAACCCCACAAATGTTTCAAAATATATTATTTTGTTTTCCACAGAAGAAATAAAGTCCCTTATAGGGACTGTGAATGTTGTCTAAAACATTTGTAGACAGTCAGTATGTAGTTATTCTCATTATATTAATGCATTAACAAATTGTTAGTGTCAAGTAAAACACTTTTAAAAGGAGCTCAGATGTTTATGTGCTCCTCTAGACAAAAACTCAGAGGTGTAAAGTCCAGGTTCAGAAAGTATTTTGTATCCAATCACCTGGGATTTGTTAATTAGCAGTTTTTCCACCAGGAGATAGAACTAATTAGTGACATATATTGCAGGACTTTTACTTTCTGACCCCTGGACTATACACCTCTGCAAAAACTTTAATCAAACTGAAGGCTAAACACTGAATATTTCTGGTTATCCATTGCGTCATTGAACGTGTGTTGTGATGATGATTCAGCTCAATTCTTCTAACATGGTTATTATGCTAGAAGAATGAAAGAAAACTGCTGAGCTGCTCCAAGTGTTTTCATAAGAGCAGCAAAGCCATTTCACCGAGCCACTGAAAAGAACTGGACGGCCTTCAGAACTTTTGCTCCATTATCTGCAATTCAACACAGCCTCAAAATCAACATTTCACATTACGGAGAAGAAAAATCTTTCTGCCATAAATCGAGCATGAAAACGATTAGTAGGCATGCCAAGAGAGTCACAACACTAAATGCTGAATCTCACTGAGATTTGTGAACATTATTGTGTAGTGCTTTAAAACTACTTGCTTAAGAGAATGGACACCTAACCCAATATCAATACAAAGTTAATGCGTTTAAAGCATCCTTGCTGTTAAGAGTACATGACGCAAAAGTGCGTCAGAGAAAACGTCAAACGCAATAACGGGAAACCATAAAGGCAGTGCTGCTGAGTCACTGGGCAAACAGGAGAAACACAGTCATCATCAGCACACACACAGATTTGAGGGAGCGTGTGTATTTGACGTCTTTACACTGTCCTGCTTTTTGACATCTATCAGCAGCACGAGGCGGCGTTAGAGACTTTTGCCAAAGCTTTATCCTATGGGTGGAGATGTTCTTGGCCGTCACACCCAAAGGTCCTTCACTGAAGCGCAATCATGACTCCAGGTGTGGTGACCTAGAATACACCGCACCCATTAGAAAATGGACTAATATGTCCTCCATTCAACTCATGCCATCACCAGGCCGGTGATTTGGAGTGGAACATCTGGAGTTATTAACTATGAAGCAAAGCAATACCTCCTCCTATATTTGCATGGACCAAATCTATCTCTAAATAACCCACCAGACAGATGAAAACCAGACATCTGCATGTCAACCTGGGTGATTTCCGGATTCCGGTGCAATAGGGTCCTGCTGCTGAATCGGTTCAACATTTCATCACGTAGAAAAAGTGAAGGGCATAACTGCTGCATCACTGCTGACCGCTGCTTTCCCAGAAACAACACATTGCCAGACTGCAAGTGAGGTTCTAGGAAACACACGACCCTTGAGGAGCTCTGAGGATCAATGCTGCTGATGGAGCGTTTAAGATACAAGCTGTATGTCTTTTAGCATATATGGTCATGGTGAACAGCATACTAACAGTAACAGTATACAGAAGTATTCAATGCGCTGTTTACATTACACAACATAGAAAAACAGCAGAAATGTTGCATAGCTTGAGCTAAAATGTGAAAAAGCATGCAAATACCAGTAAGTGTGAATGGAGGGAGTCATATATATAAGCAGTGTTACTGATTATTATCAGGTTTATTAATTAATAATCATACCCTTGACTACCCTCTGAAAGTCAAACTAGTGAATTGTGTGTTTATATAGGTTCATTTAAAAATCTGAAAACCCACAGAATGTAACTTTAAAATATAATGAATTATTAATAAAACAACCACGTATGTGAGGTATGATGGTAACCCAACCCACCAGACCTGAAACTATTCGCCATTAAATCACCATCAAATGCACTTAAAATGCATTTGTAAGTTACAATGAGTTGTTTTGTGTGTGATTTTTTTATATAAACACAATATTAGTTCATCATCACTTATCAGGATAAATACACACACCAGTTTAACTTTTACTAGCTTATTCATGTTTATTGTGCTTAACGTTATATGAACCAAGCACATCATATTTGTAAGCTTTTATCAGAATGTTTTGATAAACTCCAGTTTAACTGCACACACACACTCTTACATCAAAAATGTTTGAACACACCGATGCTATACTTTATAAACATCAGCGGTCAAACAAGTTTTAAACTCTTTTTTTTTGCACCAAAATAACAAACCAACAGGAGAAAATATGTCATAAAACCCAGTCTTGGCTGGTTTGTATTATATAATAGTTTGTGAAGCTACTATGCTAATTACGTAGCCAGCTAACAACTAATCACAGCAGAACAGATTTGATTTCTAAAAAATAAGGTAAATGTGTACTTACTAGTCATATCTCCACTGCTGAGTTTAATAAGTGGTTAATTGTGTAGATAAGCGTAATAACTGAGTGTTTTCCAGTCAAATGTGTAAAATCTCTTCACGGGACTCATCGCCCGAATCAAACTCCCTCACAGACACCAAAAACAGCGAAACTTTTCCATCTATCCATGTCCTGTAGTCCCGATACGGCTGGGAAACAAAAGGAAAACGCTTGAAAATGTTATTCCGATACTGATTTTAAAGTCTAACCGGTTTCACTGTGAATTATATGTAAATAAATGCGATATTTTAGTTGAGCAGCAGCAGAAAGTGAAGGCGGTCGCGCAGACTCAATGTGAGCTCGCTCAGCTCTCGCTCTCATCAGGAGAGAGAGAGAGAGAGAGAGAGAGAGAGAGAGAGAGAGAGAGAGAGAGAGAGAGAGAGAGAGAGAGAGAGAGAGAGAGAGAGAGAGAGAGAGAGAGAGAGAGAGAGAGAGAGAGAGAGAGAGAGAGAGAGAGAGAGAGATCTGCCCCATTACTACTGCATCCGGGTCGTGTGTGTGTCTGAGTGAGGCACTCATTTCTGAAAATAAAGAAAAACTTATGAATAAAGGAAGAGGATTCCTAGACAAGCCTTTCAAAGCATTAAAGCCAAATAAATAGTTTTACCTTTGTAAACGTAGCCTGAAATAGTCTATATAGGCTATCTGTTTAAAAAACATGCATCTTTGCTTTTTAATATAAGATCATTGTTATATAATGTGTAGTATACTACATATAAGTCTTGTCCTTTATATTTTCCCCTTAAATATCATTACTACAATGAACAAATCTCAGAATACTATAAAAAGTGGTTATAAAAAGTGGTTGGCAATTGCTGTATGGTTGTGCTTTAGCAGCCTCTAGTGGAAGTATACACATTTTAAACACTTAAAACAGCAGTTTTTTTCTCTTTTTAAACATCTCATGGGCTGCACCCAAAAACACATACTTCCCTACTATATAGATTCCCTACTCATGGGATAGTAAAGTGTCCATCATATGCGCACTTCATAATCTCTGCTGAAGTAGTAGGTCATCCGGGTACTTTACTTTTGCCTACTCTTTTATGAGTACTGTGAATTCAGACATACATATTTTGTCACACTCTTTTTCACCTTCTACATAGAAGAGAAGAATGCCAATTTCAGATGCAGACAATTTGCTTTTTTTTTTCTTGCCAGTCACCTTGGTCTTGTTCATTATGGGCTTTGAGGGATGATGTTCTGTAAAGCTGCTTGAAACAATGTGCATTTTAAAAAAGCACTATTAAAATAAAAATGACAATGTATTGTTATATCATACTCAAAACTGGATGGTAAGCCCGAGTCGTAAAAAAAACAAAGTTTTATTCATACAAAAAAAGTCTAAAGGTCATGTATTGCCACAGTTGTTCACTACTAAATATACTGTCAAACTTTGAACCAGAAAACTAAATTGATCAGTCCCACAAAAGCATAACAAATCCTGCAGCGCTGAAGGCTGGTGAGCGTAACATCCTCAGTGATCTTTCATCTGGTCCTCCTCCTCCAGTCTGCGTATCTCTCCCTTCAGGAAGTTGATGTTTTCTCTGGAGGCTTTCAGTCGCTCCTTCAGCTCTACGATCTCCAGGCTGGTCTTCTTCTTTGCCGCTTCCACTTTTTCTCGGTGTTCGTATTTCCAGCTCTGCAACTGCAACATGGAACACTGAATGTTTAGTTCACATGATTAGAACTGCGGTCTAATTTTAATGTACAGTATGTTCAGGCTGTTCAATAGGAGCTGTAAAGGTAAGTGAAGCACTCACACTCGGTCTCGTGTTTGTAAGCACCTAACGTCAGCTGTCTGGTGGTGTTCAGAAGTTGCTGCATCATGGCTGTCGGGTCTTGAAATATCTGCAAAAACACAGGTTTTAGGCTTTATGATTGTATTAATACTATAATGTCATGTTGTGCTGCTCTGATCAAATTCGCACCATCTCGTCGTAGAACTCGGACACAACAGTCTTCTTCGGCATGGCGCTGGAGTCTGACTGGAACAGCTTCAGCAGATGATACAGGGTGACCTGAAGAAAAAACACCACAACATCAAACCTTTGCTTTTTTCTATTCATTTAATACGAAGGTACAGTAATGCAGGGGGTCCAGGGGGGGCAGTAGAAATGTTTAAATAAAAACCGTGTAAATTTTGGTAACACTTTATTTTACAGTGTATTTTACATGTAGTTACTATAGTCAATCATGCATAGTTACATGCAACTAACCCTTAACTTAAATTATATAGTAAGTACATGTAGTTAATTATTACTAATTACACTGTAACAAGGACACCTTAAAATAAAGTGTAACCAATTTTTCTAAATAAATAAATAAAAATAAGATTAACTAACAGATTAAAAAGTAAATAGTTTGATTAAAATAAATAAATAATTAAATAAATAAATAGATTTGATTTGATTTATTAAAATAAGTAAATAAAAGTTGATTCAAATAAATACAGCTTAAAATAATAAATATATTTTTTAATTATTTACATTTTATTTAAATAATTGAATAAAATATTTTTTTACTCAATCCTCAAGACACAGAGGGGAAAAAGTCATATAATGCCATTTACCGGTCTCTCATTTGGATCGATGAAGAAGATCTTTATGATGATCTCAAACTCTCCCCATCCCGTCTCTGTAATCTCATACGGAGGCTTCGTAACAACTGAAATAAAATAAAAAGTATTTGATCAGTTATGTGTGTTAATTAAGCCATGAAATTTGATACTGATATTTTACTTTTATGCAGCAAGATCAACTGAATAGCACACCTCTTAAAGGATTCCCATAACTTTCGTGCAGTTTGAACTGTATTTTTTTTACATAAGCAGACATATCCTGGGGGAATATCAACGGGGAAAGAAAATAAAACTTTGTTAGTGAAGTTTACCATTTATATACAGCACTTAAAATGCCTACAAAAAGATGTAAGTGTCAACCTCATTTCTGTAAGGCTTCACATAAACTGTCCACTGATGAGTGTGACCATCGTCTTCTCTTTTCTTGCCAAAATATCGTGCAACGTTTCCAAACACGATGGGTTTCACGATAGTGACTCCCTGAGAATAAAGTCATGATGGTAAATACATAAATCACCTGTTATTGTAAATGAACACCAATGGCATCAGCATTAGCCTTATGATAGCTTTCCCTACCTTTACACGTCCCCCCGAATCTGGACCAAATTCAGCCATCCTCTTAAACATAGTATACAGAGAGGATAGTGTTTATTCGTATTGGCTTCTATGAAATGGGTACAGTTATGAAATTAACTAAATTACTGTATTGAAATGCCATTAAGCACAATATAAATGCTCTTCAATGACGAAAGACACTGTGTTTGTAGCGCTCTTTTGATTGCGTCTCTACGACAAGAACAGACGTTTTTAGGCAAAATTTCAAATTAAGAGTCCTAAATGTCTACTAGTGACTTACGTGACTTTTTACCCCACTATTTTGACTTTTTAAACCAGGATTGCGAAAAACAAGAATTGCGAGTTTATATCTCGAAATTCTGACTTTTTTCCCCCAGAACTGTAAACTAGTTATGAAGTCCAAATCGCGAGATATAAACAGCAATTCTGAGAAAAAATTAAAATCTGAATTGTGAGATAAAAAATCGGAATTACTGTTTTTTTTTTTTTTTTTTTTTACTATAATATAATTTCATCAAGTAAACTCACTGGTATGAAATCATGGTTAAAAGCAGGGGCGGATCTACCGGGGTGGCATAGGGTGGCAAATGCCACCCTAAAAGAAAGCCTTGCCACCCCTGCTGCCACCCCAGTTGGCGGCAACGAATTAAAAGTTATGGCCAATTTGACAATTTACGAACGCGAATCTCCAATGTCCGACTGCAGTGAATTCGCTCCGTGCATAATATGACGACCGTTGACGTTCGTACTTTATTGTGTGGGCAAATACTTCCGGTGATCTGACCGCGAGAGCGGGAGACAGCGAGAGCAAGAGACAACAGCGACCGAGTTCCATTACCAGAGAGATAAGTTTTCAACCCGACCAAATTTTTAAATGCATATATCATTTTCAGTGTATTTCACCTGTGCGTTTCTATGCTTTATATTACTGCATTTATTTTGTGCAAGTGAGATGAGTAAAGAACATCTTTTTCATATATCATTATCTGTCTGGTGTTTATAAGCAGTAGCCTACAGTATTTTACTACGTGTAAAATATACACAAACTTAGCTATATTAAGTTGTTTGTGTACAGTTAAAAATATAAATGTAAAATATGTGATAATAATATTGATCGAGCAATTGATGTAAGTAAGTAAAAATACATGCGCAGAATTAAGAAAATATTATTTAATATTTATGAAGATAAATTTTAGCCTATGATAAAGCAAACGTGTGAATGTTCACAGGGTATTTTATTTAATATTATAACTATTATTATATAGTAGTGTAATGTAGACAGACACTATATCACAACTAAAAAGAGTTTTGAGTTTTTTTTTTGTTCAATTTGCACACTGAATATGGGTTGGAGCTCTTTATTTTGAACTCTCAAAGTGCACCAGATTGATGAATTTAACATTAAAAAGCACAAAATTTTCTTACGGGGGAGCATGCCCCCGAACCCCCCTAGAGGGACAGAGGTGCACTCTGCACTCACCACAGATTTCCATGGGAAAAACCGGTATGCAGCTTATAGCTTGTTTTAGGATTCATCACTGTGGAGTATAGTTCAACTGAGTATAGTTCAACTTTTAGTATAGTTCAACCCCCAACCCCCCCCCCACACACACAAAACAGATACAAATAATGCCCTTTTGTAGTGTGTTACACATACGATTTCTCATCAAACTGTGTTAACTGTGATTAAATTCAGTATATATACGTCTGCCATGTTGCCACCCCTCAAAAATTCCTGCCCCCCTCTTGCCACCCCATAAATATTTTCCTAGATCCGCCCCTGGTTAAAAGAAAAGTTTCAATAATAGCTATCAAATGGTTTGACTGGGATAGAGCAGAGGACCATGTTAATAACATTTAAATTGAATATAATTGGTCAATTTTGAAATTTTATACACTAAGAAGTTAAGAACCACAAATACAGAGACTTTAAAGTGAATCTCAACAGCAAAAGAGCAACTCAAACTTTATTTTGAAATTGTGTATCGCTCATCAGGCAGTCTCGTTTTTTTCCGCGTGCTTCTGGCTTCACGAATAGGCGTCTCTTCTTCACGCGAAGACCGAGGAGGAGGAGGGAAACAGAAAATGGCGGACGGTGTTGATCACATTGATATTTACGCCGATGTAGAAGAGGAATTTAATCAGGTTGGTTTACTTTAAACATATAGATTAGCTTAATAATATATCTCTTACGTGTTGCACATAAAGATTAAAGAGAGCTCCATACATGCAGCTCTCTAAGGAACTAGGGCGTCTGCTAACTCTAGCATGCAGCTATCGAGCCGCGTTTGTGTATACGTTAAGATAGAGGTTAAAATGGTTATATATCTTATTTGTAGTTGTTTACCGAAATAATGTCTGTTCTATGTCAGTATGCATTTGGAACGCGTGTTTGTGGCGCGAAACGGACTCTGCGTCTCGTGCGTTCATTGTTTGTGGTCTCGTGCAAATACAGCAGGCCTAGCGCGAGGAACAATATCGCGTCAACTGGTCTGGCCAGATTTATAGTTATGATCAATAAATGCTACCTCAAACGTTTTCACGTTGTATCCAACACTCATAAATGAGTGTTGGTTTTTCCAGGTTTTATTTTCCCACAGACCGGTTATTTTAATAAAATGCTTATTGGATTTGGAAGCAGGAGCTCAAATCAGGGAATCAGATTGATCACGATATTTATTTTATTTACTTTTAAGGTTCCCTTATTGTGTGCTTTAAATAATGTTATATGCACTTGCGTGTTTTTCATAAAGGAGCCGAATTTTAAACATTAAAATTGTATTACCCTTATTTCAATTTCGTTTCTCTTTATTGATATTACCCATAATACTTTAAATTATGCATGATTTCTTACAATTTTGATCAGAATTTGCTCATGGTTGAGTTTCTGTCATATTTCTGAAATGTGTATTTGTCATTCCCGTATACAGGAATCCGATTATCCTGTCCATGAGCAGATTGACCTGTATGATGATGTCATCTCGCCATCTGCCAACAACGGGGACGCACCTGAGGACCGAGATTACCTGGATAACCTGCCGGCACCTGGAGGCAATGAGGGCTCCAAAGGAGCTCCACCAAACGTCGTCTACACCTACACTGGCAAAAGAATCGCTCTGTACATCGGCAACCTCACATGGGTTAGTCTTGTGCCTCTTCATTTTCAAAATATCTTGACATAATGAGTATTGGCATCTCCACAATATTTTGCTCAGACAGAATCTATATACACTACTGGTCAAAAGTTTGAAATAAGTTTTCATATGCTTTTAAAAAGTATGTTAATGCTTAACAAAGCTGCATTTGTTTGATCAAAATACATTAAAAACAGTAATATTGCAGAATATTTTTTTACAATCTAAGAGAAATATTTTCTTTTTTAATATATTATAAAATCTAATTTATTCCTGTGATCAAAGCTGAAGTAGTGCACCCTCATAAGTAAAATATTTTCCACATTTTGATTGTTTAATCAAACTTGCAGGGTCATTAACAACAAATATCATCACTTTTGCCCGTTACTCTGTGTACAGTGTTTCCCCTACCATTGTTTTGGGGGGGGGGCCCGCCCCCCCTAAATTGCTGACGAAATCCAGTCATAAAAAATAAATTTACTGTATAACGCGGAATTTCATGGAATTTGTCAATCTTTTGAGGAATAAATAGAAAGCAGTTAAGTATACACTTGAAATCAAATCGCGATGTAGACAAGTGTGTGTGGATATTAAACCACAAAGACAATTTAAATACGAATCCTGCTTGTTCTGTGTGAATGAAAGGTGCAGCCGACGTGCAGTTTAATTTACCACACACGCACTGAAGCACGTGTGACGCTTGCGCTGTTTTTTTGCCTATATGAAGACACAAATGCATGAACTTCCTCTCCAGGCTCTAGATCCACTCTGAAAGTCACTTCGTGATCATTTCACCGCTTCACTTGAGAAAAACTATCATCATGACAAACACACAAACTCAAAAGTTCTTCACGGCAACCCGTCAAAATAAAAGTTCGGTTTAACTTGACAGAAATATATTACCGTTGTACAGTAGAATTTAGATATGTCCCAATGTAATAATACTAACACTAATCCAAATAAATTATCATCAAAACTGAATTTAAGGAATAATCCATGTTTTAATTTTAACAGTAAATCTCATTGTGCAGCACGTTATTTGACAAAAAGTTTATTTAATTTCATATGATTAAAATTGATGATAAATGATAAATTTTTTGTTTTATGTCTTCATTTTATTACCAGAAAAAACACAACACAGAATTAGTGTGATTTTTTTTTTTCCATATTTTTAAAAAAAAATGTTGTTTACGTTTAATGATTCATAATACACTATTTCAATTAATTAGACATGCTTTTTGATTGCTAAAAAATTTACACCACGTATCCGTAACACGCCCGCTCCGCAACACTAGCAGTCCCCCCCCCCCCCCCCTTAAAAAAAAATCCTAGGGGAAACACTGGTGTATATGTATACATAAATAATATTCTTTTCCAGTGTTCAACTTGTGCTTTCCTCTTTACAGTGGACCACAGATGAAGATTTGACAGATGCGATTCGCTCCATAGGCATCAATGATGTGCTGGAGATAAAGTTTTTTGAGAATCGGGCAAATGGCCAGTCAAAGGGGTAAGTCAATTTTGTTTTGCCTTTCGACTGCATGGCTTTCTAGATATCGGCACCGAACTTAAACAACCCTTATTGGTCGACCGCTATCTTTTTGAAACATTATGGTTTGGGGTTTATAGTATATTTTAATTGGGACATTTCAAACATATTTGCTGAATATATGAACAGCCTCTGTGATTTACACTGTACGTCTCCCTTTAACTGAACTTGCCATGAACTTACAGGTGCATAACGATAGTATAGCTCTTCTTTTGACCTTCAAGAACACAATGCATAGTGACACTGTAGGCCTCACCTTAGCTGAACTTGCACCTGCATAATAGTAATCTTTTCTTTGGCCTTTAGCATGTGAATATGCCTCTAGTAGGGAGTAGCTAGAAGATTTGATAACTGGATGAGTTAGCAGACTGTCTAAAGATGAAGAGGCAAACAGCTATATATGAGGTCCCTGGTCAAAAACGGTATAAAAATGAGTTGTGTGTTCATCCCGTTATGCTACGTTCACACCGGACGCGAATAGCGCGTCAAATTCGCGCCTACCGCGTCTAGTTATACGCTTGACCACTTTGAAACCATTCACGCGTCAAGAACGAAATTGACGCGCGTAAAAAAACAAAACTTTGAAGCGAAATTTACGCGCGTCTGAATCGAAACCCGTTGGCGGCCATCTTTTTTTATGTTGATCGAGCATTCATCGAGAGAGTCACCGCTCTGTATTTGCTCTGAATAGCATATATTCTGAACACGAGAGCAGAACGGCGGCGTAGGGGTAATCGTCGCCGTATTTGTGTCCACCAGACCCTTCAAAGGCGAACCCAGTGTGGCGAGTTTCACCATTTGCTCGCTCCAGGAGCTGCGCCTGGAAGACGGCCGCTGTCAGCGGTACTTCCGCCTGTTCCGCGCCCAGCTTGATGACCTGTTGTCCCGCATCGGAGCGAGGATCACCCTCGCCCTCATCCACCTAATCTGTCATTTATTTTTGTTTTGATGATAAATGGAGCCAGCCTCCAAAAGTGATTAATCTGTCCTGTGATTTTTCTCTCTCTCACACACATCACTGTCCAGACACGAATGTTGGTTGTCTTTACATTATAATAATATTTCATATAGGCCTAATCTAGATATGGAACAAATAGCATTCAATACAAAATGAAAATGTCTCATAGGCCTATATTGAAATCAAGTTTTATGTGATAAAATATTTGCTTTGTTGTGCATTAGAACTACATTAGAACCACCGTCAAATTACAAAATAATTTATTGAAGCATCCAGATACTTCACAACGTGACAGCAGCAAGCAGCTAGGCTCCTGATTGGTTAACGCGGCGTGAATTGACGCAGAAGTTCAGATTTTTCAACTCGGGCGGCAGATGCGAATTCGCGTCAAACGCGTGAATGCACAAAATGCACCATTCGCGCGTAACACGCGTCACGAATGAGGCGTATTCGCGTCTACCGCGCCGCGCTCTACGCCTCATTCGCGCCGCAGGAATTTTTTACGCGCGTAACGCGTCTTTGCATTGACTTAACATTGAAATCACTCGCGCCTGACACGCTATTCGCGTCCGGTGTGAACGTAGCATTAGTTGTTCTGCGGGCATCTCTGCTTTGTTGTCTCCATCAATAGTCTAAGCTTTGGCATCTGAAGCTCTGTGACTTGATCGATTTCTTGGCAAGAGAAGATTTTCTTCACGACAACTTCTCATCCGCTCTGTGCTCAACAGGTTTGCGCTGGTCTGCGTAGGTTCAGATTCCTCGTCCAGGAAGCTGATGGATCTGCTGTCTAAACGGGAGCTGCACGGACAAAACCCCATCGTCACTCCTTGCAACAAACAGTCGCTCAGCCAGTTTGAGATGCAGTCCCGAAAAAGTGAGACCGTAATTCATAGATGATTCGACAGTTTCTATTTACTTATATTGATTGAACATGGTTTGTCAACCTACTATTGTGTGTGTGCTGCAATCCCCCCAGGCACACAGTCGGGGCAGATGTCAGGAGAGGGGAAGGCTGGGCCTCCAGGAGGAGGTCGCAGTGGCTTCCCTCTCGGCAGGGGTCGAGGGCGCTTTCCGGGCCAACCTGGCCCAGGTGGAGACCGTTTTCCTGGACCTGGTGGACCTGGTGGACCTCCGCCACACTTTCCAGGTACAAATCTCTAAATCAGTGTCCTAAACTGAGGTTTGTGAGGGAACTGCAAGTTGATGAAATGCTAATAATTGACCTTATGACAGCGGTTACTTAACCATGCCCACTGCTTTTCAAGTGTGGCTACTCTTTCTGTGTTTATCAAACATAATGACAACGCAAGTTGGCTCACTCGCTGATGTATACAGTTTACCTTTGGTGCAGAATCAAACTTTTGTATCAGGTTGGGAGAAAACCTTGGGAGAACCCAGGCTCAGTCGCTCACTTCTCCTCTGGCCAACGAATGAACAGTGTATGATTATGATTCAGGCACCATTACTAACTAAAATAGTAGAAAATGAAAAGCACTTACTAAAAAGGAATTTAGCGGCATGTCATTTCACTTAATTCAGATAACTATGAACATACAAATGTGGTGTTAAATCATACAAATATTAAATTTAAACTCTAAACTATAAGTTAGACTTATAGAAAATATTTCAGGTCAAAGGGGTTTGGCTGAGAAAACGTTTTGGGAATCCCTGTCCCACATTCCTTATGCAGTCTTTCCTCAAAATGCATGTTGCTCTTGCAGGGATGCAAGGACCACCGCGTCCTCCCTCTGGCCCACCTGGGCCTCCGGGACCCCCTGGGCCCCCTCCACCTGGACAAGGTCTACCGCTGCCTCTCGGTGGACCTCCTCACAGAGGAGACCGCCCTCCACCTCCCGTCATTTTTCCTGGTCAGTTTGGCCAACCTCCAATGGGTCCGATGCCTCCTGGCCCGCCTCCACCAGGATACGGGCCTCCCCCAGGCCCCCCACCACCTCAACAAGGTCCACCCCCTCCCGGACCCTTCCCACCCCGTCCACCTGGGCCCTTAGGACCCCCGCTTGGCCTTGCACCTCCACCTCACATGCAGGGACCCCCACCTGGAGGTCCACCACCAGCTCCTCACGTCAACCCGGCCTTTTTCCCTCCACCTGGAAACAACAACATGCCACCGTCCGACGGCAGGGGTCCTCCACCCGGCGACCCCTACGGCCGCCCTCCTCCTTATGACCGAGACTACGGCCCGGGTGGCAGGTAATAAACACCTCACCTTCACTGTACTGTAATTCTCACCCTGTAATGAGATCTCAGGTCTTATTGGTGGAAACTGAATTGTCCCATTTGTTGTTGACAATATACTAGGGCTGCACAATTTAATTTAATTATAATTTATCAGTAAATAAAAATTGCTATAGCTGTTCCAAACATTTGCAATAGTGATTTAAAATGAGGGAGTTTTTTTTTGTTGTTGCTGTTTTTTTTGTTGTTTTGTTAAGCTGCGGGTTTGTTGTGCTTGTTTGTAGGGCTGCACAATTTGGCCTGAAATTGAGATTATCATTGTAACTATAACAATAATAAGAATACTTTTATGATGACTATTTTAATATTTAGTAATTAAATATTACCTTTAAAATGTTATTAAAATAATTACATTGTAACATTAAAATATAAAAAAATGTGGTTACACTTTCTTTTTTTTTACAGTGTCCTTTTTACATGTTACATGTACTTACCATAGTAATAACAGTAAATTATGCATAATTACATGCAACTAACCCTCAACCAAACCATAATCCTACCCTAGCTTATAGTAAGTACATGTTAAGTAAAATTACTCAGTACTTAAGTATATAATTACACCTTAAAATAAAGTGTAACCAACATTTTTTTACTGCACAACTGTAAAATTACAATTCAAATATTTACTGTGTGCAAAGCTGCTAGTGTAAAAACACTGCCACTCTGAAGAATGCAATGCATTTAGTTAAATCGCACTAAGCATTGTATTGCAAAATGGGGTTTATTCCAATTAATCGTGCAGCCCTACTGCATACTACCTACTACATACTCCAGAATTGGGCAATGTTGGTAAAAAAAAAAAAAAAAAAGAAGTGAAATGTGTAGCCTCAAACTGACCCTGAATCTCCTCTCTGGCCTTTCTTCAGTAACTTCAGACCCCCTGTAGTATGTGGCTTTGAGCCCTGGATAAACGAGGGGTTGGTTGATGTGAAAAACTCTGGCCAGCACTTGCACAATACAAGTGATCAAGGGTTAGTGATGTAACCGTCCGCTGAGACCAGGATCCCGAAATGGGACCTTCGTTTCAGGCTTGTGTTGAGTGTGCAGCATTTCTGCAGTGATTTTTCAACTAGTGATGCACCGAAACACAGAAAACGAAATCCCAATATAAAGTTGCAGTAATTGAACTTTATGCTGTTATGGGTTTCGTGTTCTTCGGTGATAAATGAGTCCTTGTAAAGTTCTTCGGCAACAAATTTTAAATATTGCTAAAATTTTTGTTTTTAAATGCATCCACAGTTTATCCACATTGTGTGCACAAAATAGATGCTTACACAATCAAAACCATTTTCAATCAATTACTTTGGCCCTCCAAAACAGTTTCGGCCCAAACCAAAAATATTTTTTTCTTACTGTTTCAGCTGAATATATTTGTTTGCCGAAATTTTTGGTGCATCGCTAATTTTAACGTGATGCAATGCAATATGATTCAGCGTTAACAGCACTGCTGCACTTTGTGTGAATTTGGCCCTCGGTGCATTTGTTTTATTCTGACTTATGCTTTTAGTTTGCGATTCTTAATGCAACTGCTTTTTCTTTTGTAGGGACATGGATGCGTCTCGCACTCCTCTGAGCGAAGCAGAGTTTGAGGAGATCATGAATCGTAACCGAGCAATCTCCAGTAGTGCTATCTCGAGGGCCGTGTCGGATGCGAGCGCAGGTGTGAAAGTGATTTAGTTTCTTTTGGTTTGTATGGTTGCAGTTAAATTGTCTTATTTGCAGCTAAGTTATATGAAATAAATCCTAGGTTTTTTTGTTGTTGTTTTTTTGCAATTTCACAGCCACATATGATCAAGTTGTTAACTAGGTGCCGCTTGTCATTTTCAAGATTCACATGTGGTAATTTATTGAAAGGTTAAATATCCTTCCTTGTCATCATGCCTTTTGTCAAATTCCAGGACTGCGTTGTTTTTAATGTTAATATTCAACTTTTTTATTTAGGAATATGGCTTATGTATTTAATGTATCACCTGAATGTATTTTCAAATTGTCTAGTTGAAATTTTCCCTAGTTTAAAGTCCACCTGTAGTCAATAATTTTATTCCTCAACTCATCTTTGATCACCAAATTGACATAATTGAACTTTTTTCCCCTTAATTGCATGCCTTAGCTTGAATGTAACTCTACACCCATGCCTCATTTATTATATGCGGTTCTATGAATATGCAAATTAGCCCCGCCTCCACTCACTCACACCAGCTCAGAGATCCACTCATTGACGGGATTGGTTGCAAGGTAGTTTGTGAGGTCAGAAACACCAGCGATTTCAAACCGTGTTATTGTCTTTGGTTCACTGCAGTTTTAAGGAGAAAATACTCAGCAATGGTGTTGACTTATGCATTTGCACATGGTTTGTCTTAAAGCATATTAATAACACCACGTAGACATATAAAAAACACATTAGTAGCTTGACTTTCACCACAGGGGGACTTAAAATGTTTGTTAATTGTATGGCTTTAGTTATTCACTTTGTTCTCACCATGAACATGACATGGCTTTAAAATAATACTAAATGAATAATTTTTGCAGCTGATTACGGCAGTGCTATAGAGACTCTGGTGACGGCCATCTCTCTAATCAAGCAGTCGAAGGTTTCCGCTGATGACCGCTGTAAGGTTCTCATCAGCTCACTGCAGGATTGCTTGCATGGAATTGAATCCAAATCTTATGGATCTGTATCGAGGTAAATATCTTGTGGATCTGCATGGGATTTTTGTTTTTGTTGTGGAGAATGATTCATTTTTGCATGATCTTTCGTCTAAGTGAAACGTGTTTTAAGACCACTCTTTGCTGATGTAACCAGCGCCACAAGGGCAGGTAAAAATCAGGGATGGGAACCAAATAAGGATTGCGCAGCCCTAGTAAAATCAACCAATAATATCAGAGCCTAACATGTTCTTTTTCATGATCTTCTCAAATCCAGATGGAAAAATAGTCTTGCCCTGTTTTTTCCGTTGGATTAAATTACTTCATGCATTTTCAGTTTGCCTCAATGCATTCAATTAGTGCGTGAATTGTTTCCATTTGCATCAATGCATTAATTTAGTGCATAGATTTTAAATTTGCATGCATGAAATAATTTAATGCATTGCAACAAAAGTATTTCATGTGGTTTAATATTATTCAATGCTTTTCACCCTTTAGCAGACGGGAAAGGTCCAGGGAGAGGGACCACAGTCGCTCTCGTGAAAAGAACCGCCGGCACAAGTCTCGCAGCCGAGACCGGCACGAGGACTATTACCGGGAGCGTAGCCGCGAGAGAGACCGCCATCGTGAGCGAGACCGTGACCGCGAGAGAGACCGAGAACGTGAAAGGGAATATCGCCACCGTTAGTTGGAGAGGAAGGTGTGTATCCTGTTTGTTTCTCTGTCTGTCTTTCTTTCTCCTCTTCCTTCAGGATTCAGATGTACTTGCATCTTATCCTGCAGAGGTTGGGATATCACAGGTAGGTGATCGGAAAAGGTGAGCCTTTGATCCTACAATGTGACCAAGTACTGTAATTTTCCCTACGGCTAATCTATTATTTTTTTTTCTCTTTTATTTTATGGATGTAGCATGATGTGAGTACTCGGATCCTTTAAATTTGTGTACCGGTCTTGAAGCCGTTTATTGTACAATATCAGCTCCAGAAACACTAAACTGTCCGGCACTGTTATAGAAAAAAGCAATTGTGTTGTGCACAATCCAGTTTGTCTTTTGGAGGGATTTTATGTGTATTTAAATGTTTACAAAAACAAAAAAAACAGAATGCCTTTCATAAACATTGCACTTTAGTATTTGTCCATTTTAGCTTGAGATTTGCTGCAAGTTTAAAGACTATGCCAATTTTGTCAAGGTCAAACAGAAAGCTACCTTTATCATACTTTGCCTAATTTACTAATTGTTTGACAAAAAAATCAGGATGTATTTGCATGTCTTAAGGGTTGCAATTCTGAAATATAAATTCCACCTGTAATCATAAATGTGAAGAGAATTTGGTTGTAGTTGGATGAGAGAAAATGAATGTTTGTATTTCACATTGAAACATTTACTGATTTCAGTGAATGAGCAAAATCATGTTTCTCAGGTTGTGCATTGACATTCCTGTAGGCAGATTTGATATTGACATAATGGTTTTCCTAGTGTTTAGTTCCACATTGAACTGAATGTTGTGAAAAACAAATGAATGGAGTCAAATTGATCTGCTTTGGCATTTAAAAATGCGTTTGCTGTAGTCTTATGTCAGGTTGAGTTGTGCATGGTGTTGGCCATATCAAATTTTTTCATGTTGTGCCTTATGAATGAAGTATTTAGTCTTGAACATCTGTACAGTATAATTTCAGAAAAGCATTCTGAATGTCTTCTGTCAGAGCAAGTTAAATGTCTTTTACTGTGAAGGGTATTTCAGACGTCACTGTGCGTCCTAGTATTTCTGCAAGGTTTACAGTCATATTTGCAGGGTTTTAGTAGTAAAGTTTTTCCATCTTAAAAGTTAATTCATCTGAATTTGACATTTTCTCAGTTGACATCAATTCGTTATTCATTTATTTTCCATGTTTGTTAATGTTACACCTTAGATAATTCAGATGTAGCAGTTCCTCACCATTTACACTTAACTCACTCAAGCATTTGTTTTAACTGTAAAATAAAACCACAGATCTGCAATGTCAGAAAGTGGCCCTACTGGGAAAAATAATACAAAGTATGCCTTACATATTCATATATCTCCCTCAGTGCTTTTATGAATGGGGAAGAACTGCTAGTTTTTCCAAAGTGAACATTTTTACGTTTTTTATTTATTTTTTTCTATCGGTAAACATACTCATGTTTGTAATGATTTACGATTGCTTTTATTTAATATGCAACCAATATTTAATAAATATTTTCAAAGTCAGTATTTAAATTTATGTAGCATGTCCTCAGTTCAAACCCTGTTGGTCTTAGTTAAATTTCTGACTGAGACACTTTACTGTCACTGTCTCACTTGTGGCCTGTTGCTTCATAGCTCTGTGTGACTGTTTCCTACAGGCTAAATTTTGTACTGTATGTAAATGCTGAGGACACCATAATATGTGTGATCCATTGTGAGTGACCTCACATACATTTGATTTTAGATGCATAGAGACGTTATCATAACTGTCCCTGGACAAAATTATGAAACTAAAATGCAACAGACTCATTTTTAGCAAATAGATTGCAATCATTGTAAATGCATAAACTTAAGCACAATTACTTTGTCAATTTTGTTTCATGTAATTCTGGCAAGAAAAACTTCCAAATTGTTGTTCTTGCCTCCTAGCCAAAAAATTCTGAAATTGCCAATTAATCGGATGGTCTTTTTTATTTTTATTTTTCTCTGTATTATATCAACTGTTAACTTTAATGTACAATCTATAATTGCATCAACACTAATCAGGGAAATACTATTGTGTTCCAAAGCCATTAGCTGCAGAATTTACCTTGCACTTTTAATACATGCTGTTTCTCTTATGCCGGGTTCAGACTACATAATATCAGCCCGATTTTGGCACGATCCGTTTGACTTAGGGTGCCGTGGTGTACGCACGGAGCAAATGCTTTAAAATCCTTCAGTGTGCAGTGCAAAAATATCTTTACTCAATCTCACCTGATCTAAAATGCTGTCTTTAATGTCGCGTTCAGACTACGCAATTATTTTGTCTGTTACGATAGTCACTGTGTCAGATTGTGATTTTAAACTCCTAAATTCTTCTGTCGTGGACAAGAAACATGTCAGACTACATGTCTCACAACAACCAATCATCACTTGCCACATTTAACGATCTATGGGATGTCATTCCGAAAGCAGAACTATCAAATGGCTACCGAACATTGGCTACCGAAGCGGCATGTTACCTTAAAGGGATAGTTCACCCAAAAATAAAAATTCTGGCATTTATTCACCTTCCTGTTGTTACAAACCTGTATGAGTTTCTTTTTTCTGTTGAACACGAAAGTTATTTTGAAGGATGTTGGTAATCAGACATTGACTTCCATGGTATTTTTTTTTCCTACTATCAAAGTATATCGCTACCTTCAACTGTCTGATTACCAACATTCTTCAAAATATATTTTGTGTTCAACCGAAGAAAGATACGCATATAGGTTTGTAACAACAGGAAGGTTAATAAATGACAGAGTATTTATTTTTGGGTGAACTATCCCTTTAAGATAACATGCCGCTTCGGTAGCCAATGTTTACGCTCTTGTTTCCGAAAGTCATTTGATAGTTCCGCCTTCGGATTGACATCACGTACATCGTTAAATGTGGCAAGTGATGATTGGTTGTGAGACATGTAGTCTAAAGACAGCATTTTAGATCAGGTCAGATGGAGTAAAGATTTTTATGCACTGCACACTGAGGTTTTTAAAGCATTTGCTCTGTGCATACAGCCCTATTATATTTGGATATTTGGATGTAGTGTCCATCTGTATGGGGTTAATCTGCGGAAATGACTGTTTTCCAAGGTTGTTTGTGTAGGTTTTTCTCAAGTAATGGTGCTGACATATTGAACGGTTTAATCCCCACCCCCTTTCCTCTGTTCAGTATTGTGCTTTATAAGATTCTGTCACAGGATTGGACAAACTTATGTTTTTGTGGTAGTTACAGGTTTTACTAGTAATTGTCATTCCAAACAAACTAAACTGTGATATCCTTAATTCAGTCCAAGAGTTTTCATGTGTTAATGTCTAGTTAAAGTAAAATTTTAATATTTATGAAATTTCTGTAGTAAAATGGGCTGAGACCTATGAATATGGCTATAGTAAGACACAGGCTAATGTTTTAATAAGAAATCACATCCTCAGTACGTTTTATTTCATGTCCATTTCTCTTGTGACTAACAGATGCTCAAAAGAATAATTAGTTTCTGAATTATTTGTCCAACCCTGTGTACTGTAACTCCAGTGTCCACCGAATCACTAGAATCAAGCTTGTCGTTCATTTGCTGTTTTTTTTTTTGTTTTTATCAACTCCTAGACACTTAGCTTCTAGGTCACATTATGCATAAACTCAATGGTAGAAAACTGTAAATGATGGAAAAAGCATTTTATTTTTAAGATGCAATGATCGTGTAATCAGTTGAAATGTGGATTTGATGCTTATTCTTAGAGGTGCAGTGGACACTGTATATTTTATTATGTGCTTCACAAAAAGTTGTTCTCTATGGGGGAAATAAGATTTTTCCTGTTGTAGCAAAAATACAGAACTCATTTAATTTAGTTTAATTGTAATTGACTAGTTAACTGCTCTAAAGAAACTTAAATGATTGGATGACCGTTTGGAAAAAAAAATCAGTAAAAGGCTAAATAAATTGTAGTATCTTTTAAGTAGTTAACCATGTGTAGATGAGTCGTTAAGTCATCATTACCCATGATTGAAGGATTGTTTGGCGACATTAAATTTGAATGTTCTGTTTTACTCCTTTTTAGATGTGAAAATATTCAATTAGAAATAGATATGAAGTGTAAGAAAATGAGCACTAATCAGACATGGATCACTTCTGCTTATAGAATTATAGTTTACCTGTGAACTTGATTTTGTGCAACAAGCCCAAAAAAAAAAAACTCAATTACTATGAGTTAACCTTGTTTAAAGCCATAAGAGGTCATACATGTTTTACACCCAGTGAGACAAACCAATCAGCCAATATAATGTCAAATCAGTATCATAATGCAGGAATTATGCTATGCATACTGTCTAACATCTAGCTTATGCAATTCAACTGAATAAAGTGACTGCATGTTCATTTATTTTGTCATATTCAAAATTATAGGTGTCATTTATCCTCATCTTGTTGCAAACCTGTATGGGTTTCTTTTTCATTAAAGGAGCTAAAATGTGCCCTAAAAATACACAAGTACTTCTGTGTTGACTACAGTTGCTGATTTGTATGAATTTGTTTTTGATTGATTTGTCTCAATGGGACTAAAAGCCATATATTTTCATATGACTTTAATACATATTTTGACAACTGGTTAACTCTTATGAATTACAGTTTTGATGTGAGTTATTGTGCGTCTGCATACTTATAAGGTTTATAATTTTCATGAAAGAATGATAATTGCTATTGACTAAGTAATCAGAGTGAAAGTGAAGTATTTGCTCAGTTGTGGTGTTGAGTTCATGTGTCATAGTTGTGCATGCCAATGTCTATGCTTTTGTGTCATCTTTTCACACTGTATTGATGCACTGATTCCAGGGGCGTGTCTTAAATAGTGTTGTATGTTTTTAGCATTTCCAGTTATCACTGACTACATTTACATGTGCACCAGTAATGTGATATTTTCCAATAATCAGAGTAAGGTCTTAATTGCAGCAAGATGTTTACATATTAATGCCATTATTCACTTACCCCAGTGCACAGCACAACTAATAAACTCACATAAAAGTAGGCTTGTTACTAGGGCTGGGTATCGATTCAGATGTTCAAATTCGATTCGATTTCGATTCACAAGCTCACAGTTCGATTCTCGATTCGATTTCGATTATAATGAATATAGATGTAATACAAATCTGTCTAAATATTAGTTATAATTTTTTATTACATTGATCTCAACTAAATGTTTGTTTTTGCAATGGGGTAATTTTTTTGTTAAGAGTTTATGCAACACATGGAAGCTTGATTTCAATCTTTGAATTAAATTGAAAAAAAAATAGCACAAATAAATACAATAGATTAGGCCTAAAGACACAAATAAAGAGACATAAAAAGAAAAGTTTTTGGGTAGGTCAGAAATACTACAGAAACTGAATAAAGTAATCCAATGTAAAATAACACTGGATAGTCTTTTAGTCCTGACTGAATTAAATACATAGGCTATTAATTCTGATTCCTTACAATTAATGCTATATTATGTTGTTTTGACAACAAAATTAATGACAGACACATATGGCTGCGTTCACTTTAAGAACTAGTGCACGGATCCATTACTGTTTCATTATACTGTCTGTCACACGCGGTTTATGCTTATTTAAGACATAACCGACTGTCTTTACGAGGTTACTCACCAAGACCAGAGTTTTGACATCATTTTGCGTGTTTTTAACTGTTAAAGCGATATAATCCACGAAAAATAACTTTTGTTACTGGCGAGCTGTTTGTGAGGCGGATTTAGGCTTTACTGTATATGCACGCAAAGAAAAACATGCGCGAGTGCGCGAGCACAGGATAGTTTAAAATTGCTTGAATGTTTAAACTGGTAAAACTTTAAAAAGTCGTGAAAATGATAAACGTTAGTTACGATGCAATGCTGGCCCGATTGTGCAAGTGAATCATGTCCCGACTCCTAATCACGAGTGTATCGACGCCTGCAGCGCTTGACGCTTGCCTTGTGCTGAATGAGAAGACGCCGCACGCGAGCCCTGAATATGGAAAAAAATCTATTCGTGGCCGTTGAGAATCGATTTTGAATCGACCACATTTTAAAAAACGATTAATCGAAAAATCAATTTTTTTGCCCAGCCCTACTTGTTACTGGCCAAGCTCTTCCAGCGTGTTTTTTCTTCTCACCAGTTCTCTTGTAATCGGCCTAATTTTTTTCCCGGTGATACGCCTCAAATGCCTCCATTTCAATGTTTTTGACTATTAATATACTGCATTATAGGGATGGATGACCCCTAATAGTCGATGAGAAGAGGCTTAGTCGACCAAATTTACATTAATTAACATTTAAGTCACTTGTTTCTTCTGGAACAAGTGTTTACATGCCTGTTTAATGCTATTTAAAATCAATATCCACCAAATTTTACTACGATAATGACTACGGTTATAAGCTTAAATTGCCTAAATCTCATTGTTTTCACATTGAGGGTGCATGTGAACGTAGTCACTGTTCTCCCTGACTGCAGTTAATATACTTTTGTATCTAATTCTGTGCTGATGTGAAACTAAATTATTACATTTACGTATTACCCTATATTGCTATAATCAATATGAAACAAATTGCCCCTTAGGCTGATGCTGTTATAAAATTGATTGAACGTTTGCATGCCTGTGTATGTCTGGGACAGTCTGAGCGTGTGTAGATGTAGAGGGGAAAGACATCTGTGTGTGTTTCTGGGTTCTGTGCCCCAAAACAAACTGCCACCTTCGTTTTGACACCTTTCAGCTGAACGCAAGAGGAGGAGGAGAGACGTCAGGAGCAACGTGGATTCATCCGACAGCATCCCGCATCGCAGAGCGCTGGACTCCGGACACAAGGAGAGTTCTGTCAAATATTACATACTCACTCTTAATTCCAACAGCTCTTGTTTTATTTTTTACTTTTATTTGGAAGTCAGTTCAGCTTTTGACAAATTATTTGCCTGCTCATTCGAAACACAGAACAACTTTCCGACTGCTATAATGTTGTAAATTGTCAGTTAGCTAGATTTGTTTTTATAGGAGCTTTTTTTTCATGTTTCTCCCCCCTTCCCCCTCGTCCATATAATGTTTGTAAGTGTCTTTTGCCTTGATTATTAAATAGAATCTGTGTTGTAATAAAGTGTGTACTGGGGTTGTTGCTTGTTCATAATTTAGGTTTATACTTCCCATTTGGGTCAATCTCCATTTTAGCCAAAAGACTTAATTGCTCAGAAATGCACATTTTCCTTAAATTTGTCCTACTTGACAATCCCAAAAAAAAAATTTTTTTTTTGATCTTTACTTTCTATAAATGCTGTGCCATTGTGCCTTTTCCAGTTTTACCCGATTTCAAGAGTTTCCATGCAGTGGTCTCAGTGTTTAAAGAGGTGAAGGTTTGGGTAAATTTATCATTCATGTTCATATTCAAAATTATTTGCCAAATCATGTAGGGTTTTATCTTTCCATGAAACTTTTCAGTGGTTTTCTTGATTGTAATTGGGATTACACAATTCAAATGTGAAATGCTCCTCTAATTTTTGTAGTCAATTTATTATTTTTAGAACAAAAATCACTTGAGTCGTAACTATTAATACAAAATACTCCGCATTTGTAATGTATCTGACACGTGTACATTTCTTTATGCATTTATCTTATGTTCATATGTGTGTATATACAGGCCATATTGTAATTTGTCCTTTTATTACTGTTTGATTCTGCTAATTTAAAATTTAAACGTGAGATTTATGCAAATTGACTAATGCATTGTATGGATTTCTCAACTTGTCTGTCCCTTGTAAAAAGGTTAGTTTTTAGATCAATTGTCTCACTTCACTTACGGCAATGTTTGCCAGTGATGTAATAAGCAATGTTGGCGACTAGTCTGTCAAATGACCATCACTGCTTACTGTAAATATGCAAGTACTTTATTTTGAAACTTTGAATGCATAAATAGATTTGAGAGATGCACTTGGACTATGGGGTGTTTGTCACACTGTGTGCCTGTGCATTGGTCAGGTTTCATCTGTTGAACAACAGAATATAAGATTCATGTGAACACAATTACTCCCTTGTGGCCTGTGTTTTTAATGGTTTTTCCAATGCAACTAGAGTAAGTGCAATGCTAGTTTCTAGTGGTTTTTTGCAACTGAATACTCTGGTGGTGAAGTGGATGAGCGACTATATTGTGGGTTCCTGTTCCCTGGACTGAATCATCTGGACTGAGAGGTAAGTCAATTTTGCCTTGTATATATCTTATTGAAGTTGATACGGCTGTGTTTTTGTTGACCCAAGCATTACAGCTCTTTGAATGGACATTTTGTTGTAATATTGCTAGTTATACTTATACGTTGCAGTTATGCTTAAACTATATTCAGGACCGTCTGTTGGATGGCATTCTCTCTAATGTATTTTCATTCATTGTTCATAGACATTTGAGGTGGTTCAGTCCACATATTATTAAATTCGTGATGGGATTCCTGATTTCAAAATATTTTTGCCAATCAATAAATTTTTCCCACACTAGATTTGTCTTTTTTTCTTGTCTTGTATGTGTTTTCTGTTTCTTGTGCATTTGGGATTAAAAAAGTCCTGGAGTGGCAGCATAATAGAATGCTTTTAATTGTAACTTTGTCCCTTGAAGTTTAAAATAGACTACTAGAAAACTGTAAATCGCTTTTTCCTGTAGTCCTGGGAGAGAGGGGGCTCTAGTCAATCTGATAATTAATATTTTGGCAAGTTAAATTAAACGATTGCAGTAAAAATGAGATCTTTGAAGGAAGGGACTATATCATATTTAAAAGTAAATGGCCATATGAGGGCGCCATTTAAACCCTAATTAAGTTATGACATGATTTCATCAGCAAAAGACGTGTTTCCTGGTGAAATAAGTCACCTAGTCCTGAAATGATATTTGATAAAAACCTGATGCCTGGATATGAGTCAGGTTAAGTACACAAACTAGTTTCTTATATAGTTTAAACGCATGTTGCAAGATGTATTTTTCTTAAGCCAATAAAATATGAAATATAGGATGTGGTCAAACAAGTTTTAATTATGTAATTTTTAAAATTATGGGTGGGGTGATTTGGGGAACTAGGCTGAAGAAGGTGTAGTCAAATTATGGGTGTGAATGTTACTGAAATAATGTTGCTTTGCTATAACTAGCCTACCTCGAGTAATGCGCATGAACAGACTGCGTGAGCTTGCATTCCTGCAGATAATGCACTGTGCCCGGACACTTTTGACGATAGTTAAATGCATTTGGTTAATACATCAAGATAATTATGTGTGGGCTAATTGTGGAGGCCTTTACAGTAACACAAAACTCTTCATATTCCCAGAAACTATGACTCCCTGGGATAATACAGTTGCGCAGAATGTGTCTGGGCTTGCGCTAACTTGTCTGGAGGTCAGATATATTTCTGTGTAATCTGTTTATTGTCTATTCTTGATCCCAGAAAGGGTGCTTCCCTAAAGTAGCCAATAACAGCGCAGGCATGTTCCTGGGGTTTTCTGTAGACGATCCAGAATTAAACGCCTTATTCTGAACCAGGGGTGTAGCCAGTATTGGGCCAGGGCGGCACTGGCCCGCCCACATTACTCACTGGCCCGCCCAGGCAAGTTTGATAAAAATACATTTTTAGTTTATTTTTATTATTCAATATTTTAATATATAGGCCTACCTGATTTATTGTTGACTGCTGTGTGTGTTTAATTTGTTTTCCGAATAAAATTTAACTGGTGAAGCAAATTGTAGAAAGCCTCTCTCCGGAACGTTTTTGGTTGCTTGGGGTTCTGACAGGAAAACTCTCCGCGGCATCGGCGCCACAATAATGGCTAAACAACTTTCTTTAATGTGCTATTTGAAAAAAAGCCAGAGTTGAGGAAGAAGACACGCCACTGCCTTCATCTTCCGAGTCCACCCAGCCCAGTTCTTCCGACTCATTACCCCAGGAGAAGGCTAGTCAGGTGCTGGCGCTGGCCGCTTCTTGCTCCCTCTCTCCCCGTCAGCCTGACGCGGGTTTATCCGCCGATCTAACTGTGATATTATTATTTTAGCTTACTTTATTTTCGGGTGAACTGTATTTGCACTGCTGAATAAAATAGACAGGTTATTGTCTATACTGGTTTGTCCAGCCTTTATTGAGCTCTGTTGGTTGAACATGATGATTTGCCGAATATAAAGGTGTAACTGTTTTTTCAGGTTGTCTATGAATGTTAATTATTATTGAAGTCATTTTTTTCTAGGAAAAACTATAGGCCCAGTCACATTTTCACTGGCCCACCCACAATACAATTTCTGCCTACGCCACTGTTCTGAACCACAGAGATGACCTTGATTGTGCATTGAACAAACTTTATTCTCGGACCGTCTGACAGAGCATATAAAGTCCTCTGGACTCACCCAGCTGAGAAACTGATGTTCTGGAAACGTCGTGAGAACAGTGATTTTAATGTTTCTAAAGCGTTAAAATGTCTTGTCGTGATAACTTTAAAAGGTTAAATAACCTATTTTTACTCGAATTGTAACATTCTTTGAACGTTTGTGCCTATTTGTAATATTCCAAGAAGGTTCATTTTAACATTCAACTATTACAAGTATAACATTATAAGAATGTTCTGTGTTATTGTTATTTACAGTGTTGTTACACTGTAAATAAATAAATATGTTGGATAAAAGTTTTTTTGAAGCTGTAAATAAAATAAAGATTATTGGAGTAGCCAACGTTTTACAAGAAAATTCTACTTTAAACTTTTATGTTTAATTCAACGTGTTACTTGCCATTTCTTTGCAAATGTTAGTAAAAATCACTAAGCAGTTTCTAAGTGAAAATTGCTTCAAGGTGAATCCCAAGCCCTTTTTTTACACACCCATCAACATGTGAACAGGTGCTTACACTCTTAAAAACAAAGCTTACAAAAGAGGGTGAGGAACATTTTAACAATCCATAGAACCTTCTATAAAGAACTAAGAACTTTCAACTACCTTTTGTGCAATACAAAGATTCATCTCCGTGGAACAAAGGCAATAAAGGACCTTTTATTTTTCTAAACTTGATTCTGCCTTGATCATGACATGAGTAATTGCTAAGATAACATTACGTCTTATTAAGAGGCATATTGTGCACGTATATTCAGAGGACTGGTGTAGAATATTATCCGAATGGCCTTTTCTATTGTCTTGTGGCATAGAAATGATTGTACCGTGGTGTTTCTATTGTCGTTACGACTTTTGGTTCTGTAAATAATCGTGCTCGTTTCCCATCCAGCTTGTTTTTCGTCATGCTGTCTGGAATTCACTATGATGATCATGCAGACTATATTTGCATTTTATTCCGGGTATCGCTATCTCATGTTGTTCATCTTAACAGCGTAAAAGAATGAAAAAACAACATGCAGGCAACAAATAGTTTTCAGATAAGAACAAAAATGTTATTTTGCTTCAGCTGTGAAACACTGCAGAATGTTCCACCATTATCTGTTAATCATTGCTCTTATGAATGACGTTTATGATACGAAAATGGATTTAAATTTTGAAAGTTTGAACAAAATATTGATGGACAAGCTGAATTATGGCTAACCTAGAATAATAATACTGCTGCAAGTGCAAGTGTGCTTTTGAGTACTTTTGAATTATTTAGTCTTTAACCTAGAATCCATCAAAGCATTATAAGCATTCTTTAGGTCTGTTTAAACCTTCAGTATATATTTTCTTTCAGTAATGAAAGCCACTTTTATTGTCTCGTTTTCTCTAGCAGTGGCTTCAACACCTAAATATGTAGGCTACTCGTATATTTGAGTATAGGCTACTGCATTTTTTCTGTGAAGACTTTAAGGTTTGTGTCCTTTAAGTCTAAAAGGCAGCAGGCTATAATAAGCATGTGGGGAAAACTTTTACAGAAAAACTTTTAAATGTAGCAAACTTAAACGTAAAAACTAGTAAATTTACAGAATCATATTTTTAGAATCTTTTAAAGAGTTTAGTTGCATTTTATACCGTTTGTATTTATTATATTGTTGAAGGTTGAATCAATAGCCTGTGAAGCTGATCAATTTAAATAGCTACAAACCTAACAACCCTTACCAGTCCTGAATAAGGGAGTGCAAAGCCAGACACTTTCAGTTTAAGTTTAGTAAGTGTGTAGAGTGTGTGTTTGGAGTCACACCCAGTTCACACACACACACGCACACGCTTCTGTCTCCATCAGCGCTGCGCCAGAGGCGCGTTCACTGCAGCTCTGTGGCGCGCGCACACGCGTTGAGACGAGAAAGAGAGAGAGTGAGGAACATCTTCACCCGGCGTGATTCATGTTCAAGGTAAGGCAAGATATTCTGCTTTCTAGCCTACTGTTTGAGAGCAAAATGTAGCTTGACATTTTAATCCCGGATTTACCGTTATAGAGAAGAGAGAAGAAGCGTCGCGGTTTGTTGACGCATCCTTGAGGAAGAGAATGCGCTCAGTGTGTTTAATCATGACGGTCTGGATGCGGTTGTTTTGGATCTGAATTCTGGAGGAGTGAAGGGTGTAAAATCTATTAAGCAGTCTATCGACCCGGAGCAGCTCTCAAACCTTTACAGGACGCGTTCTTGATGCGTTCCGTCTGCGGTGCGTCAGGCGGGCGTCTTTTGCCGCTGCGTTTTAAGATGATCTGTCAAGAAGTACAACTTTGACAATCAAAGCGTTTAGTTCTAGCTTATAAATTCCCGAACGCGCCCTGTGCGCGCGTTGGCGGCGTTTGACGCGGGTCTGTCGGCGGACGCTGCTGAAACGGACGTGTCATCAGCGGTGACAGCGGTCACTATATAATAATCATAGTAAGTGGTTAAAATCCGCTTTCTTACTGTGGTTTCTTGACACATGCGTGTTTAAATATGAGCTGCGGTGGCGGGTTAAGCAGAAAGAGGATGATGGATGAGTGTGTGAGCGCGCGGCGCCAAAGCTTCAGTTCAAATGTTATAGTGAAGAAGCACAAATGATTCTTGAACTGTTGAGGTTTGGCGCGATCGAATCATTCTTGCTAGTTGCTACATTGTTGCACTTGAGGATGAATCTTTTCCGGGTTATATTTCATCCCAAAATAAAAAATAAAAAAGTTATGTTTTGTGTTAAAAAATAAAGTAAAAATCTTCTCAAATGTAGGCTAGAGTCATTAATCGCTTTTATTTAGGGTTTTGGGGTGGAATATGTGATCTGGACATGTTTTTGAAAGGTTCACCTTTCAACAGAATTCAATTTAATTCAAATTTATTTGTGTAGCGCTTTTCACAATACATATTGTTTCAAAGCAGCTTTACAGAAAGAATTGTACTGTTACAGTAAATCATGACACCTAATATACTGATGTCTGCAGCAGTAGCAACAACATTAAATAGAAACTGTTCAATATTCAACAGACTGTATACAACATACACTCTCATACACAACATACCCCTGTATATATAGAGAGCTCAAGTACAGTAGAATGGGAGACATGCCAGCAAGTTCATACAGTCACGGCACGTGCGTAACGCTGTGCTTTGACTAAACGAGCTGTGCTAAATATGATGTCTGCTCCCTTATCTGGACCTGATACTGCAGGAGACAGACAGACAGGGCCATCTGCAGACAGTGAGCCACAATCAGTGTCAGTTACATCATTCATTCAGAAATGTTTCCAATGATAAACATGCAGGAGTGAGACAGATCCAGGATAAAGTGTATGGAGGGCGTTTGTAAAGTCCCAATGAAATCCAATATTTTTATAGAATATTGCAGCATACATTATAATTAATCTGACTGTACACATCATTATATTCTAAATTCATTAACTCGTCTTTACTTGTGTGAGGGCGGGGCAACCTGTCACTCACATGAGATCGACCAATAGCAAACCCTCTAATCAATCCCCATTTGTTCTTGTCCCAGAAGCCATTTCACTTAGATATACGTCACAATAGGGAAGAAATGATGATTGCAACTTCTCTTTCATGCTGATTTTAAAGGCTCTCGTTTGTTGATGAATCCTCATTGTCAACTGATCTATCATCTTACTGTATCTCTGACCTTTACTTTGATCAGACTGTTCTCCAGCCGTTCACTTTACCCTGAACACACTCCTAGAGTATCAGCAGTGTTCAGTACTGAGACCTCAAGGCGAGGATGTTGAGATTAGAGCTCACTTGATGATCAGCAGGCCTTCATGGGTCACACTGAGAACGCATGAGGGGGGTGATCCGAAGAAGTGCGGACCACCAGTGTATTTAGGCATGTGAATCTGTGGTATTCACTCTTAAAACAGACGCGGAATTAAACGCTGCATAAATAATTCTCGCATCTTTAACCATCTTGACACTGTGAAGATGGTGTTATGTTATGTGTTGCTTCATATGCATAAGCTGAAAGTCATAACAGGAGCAAAGTGGATCAGATTCAGCATTCATTTACATAGAACCAAAGCCTAAAACCTAAAGTTGAACCAGGGTTATAAGAGTTAACAATAAAAATAAATAAAAAAATGTATATAAGACAACTTATTTTATTTCAGTTAGCAACATTTTTCATTTTCATTTAGTTTATCATTATGCTCTAAAACAACTAAAACTGAAATAAAACAATAAAAAGCAGATGGAGATATATATAAACACGTATAGAAATGACAAAAAATGAACTTTTACCAAAACTTGAACTAAAAATTAAATGTAAAAATACACTCTTAAAAATAAGGTTCCAATAGTTTATTGCAGTGATGGAATCTAAAGATTCTGTGGATGTTAAATTGTTCTTCATGGAACCATATATTCAGATAAAGAACCATTATTTTTATGGGTATATAAAAAATAAATGAAACTTGAATGCTATTATTTTGTTCCTGGCCTACAGTTGTTAGCGGAGGATGTAGTGCTTCTATATTTACATCGCACAGTCCTGTTCTCTTTTTACTCATAATAGATTTTGTAGTCATTTTAACTGTGTATTTCCCTCTGGACTGGACTATAATTAATGTGACTTGGAGCTGCTATTTATACTACAAGCCTAATTAGCCAGAACCACTTCTGACAGAACCGCTACACTAGCAACAATCCATTCCTGCCCTATTAAACAGGTGAATTATTGATGTATTTATAGGAAGTAGCTCCGGTTTCACCCATACAATCAAGAGTCGCATATGACTGAAATGATAGATAGATAGATAGAAATCCTTAAACAAAGGTTTTCTCACCTGCTTTTTTATCTACAAGACTAAAATCACAACAAGTCAAATCGGTTAAAGTTCTAAACTAATAAAATGCTGGATGAGTAAATTTAACTGTAATATTTAATTATATAATCTTAGTATAACACTAACTATGAGTAATAGTGACACCACAACTAATTGTAATGAATTGTTTTTCCAATTTTCTCCACCTGAACCATGTGTATGTATATATATATATAAAACCTTAATATACATTCTGTCTCTCTTATTAATACCAATACAATTAAATGGATGGTAAATTCATCAAGGAAATCAAAATAAAAGAAAGGAGAAAATGAAAGTACATGCAAGAACAGCAACCAAACAACAGCTTAAAAAATAATAAGAGTAATAAATATGAAATGTTAATGATAAAATACATATTTAAATAAAATAAATGACTTTTTTTGAGCTGAAAATGCATAGCAAAGCGAGTTTTTGTGAGCACCCTACAATCCAGGCTCCCAAACACACCTCAGCTTCTTGCAGGAAAATATGTTATTTGAATAAAAGTGATGAATGCCCATGTTTTCATGTAACTCAATAAACCCATAACCTCAAACAGTCAAACCTGCACTTCTGTTTGTGTCTGACATGCTAAAATGTTTCAGCAATGAATGATTTCGACTCTCAGAACATGCTTTCACTTCAGTAACCTCAGGGCAGGTCAGGCTATAGAAAGTATTTTATTCATTGCTTTTGCAACCAGGACACAATGTACGTCAAACGCTCATCTGTTTCTTTGGATCTCCTCATTTGTTTGACTTTCATGTTTTGAGGCATCTTGAGCTGCTACATTCTCTGATGTGAATCATTAGTGGCTCGGTGAGTAAGTGAATGAATGAATGAAGGGTGTTGTAGAATTTCCTTTGGTATGTTGTGAAGTTGGTTTCTTTTTAAGAAAGGATTTATGTGACCAAAAACTACATTATTTAGTAAATGCATGTTTTAAAAAAAAACAAGTGTTTCACAATCTTGTCAAAAAAGATTCCTTGTTTAATTAATTCCCGCCCAAGGCATTCGCAGAATAAAGGGGCGTGGCCTGGTTGAGTTAGTTAGTAGTGTGTTGAAACTGGTGGTTATGGGAAGGGGAGGGACATTTCCCAAACACACTCAAAGCGCTTGACCAATCACAACACACTGATCGAGCCGACCAATCAGAGCACAGTGTGCTTTTCAGAAGGAGGGGCTTCATAGAGACAGGAACTAAACAGAGCGTTACTGACAGACTGGGAAAAGAGGAGCTGCAACAATGGAGAATATGGGAAAAATAATGTATTCTAGTAGAGCCCAAAAACTAAATCAAGACTTTGAGGCATAATTGGCTTTATGCACAGCTGCACTACTTCCTGAACTTCAGCCAGCTCTTTTGTTTCCTGTCTGCCATTATTGGACAAACTGATTAATCCAGGTGTGGCTGGTCTCAGTAACAATAATCAGGCACACCTGGATTAATCAGTTTGTCCAATAATGGCAGACAGGAAACAAAGGAGCTGGCTGAAGTTCAGGAAGTAGTGAAGCTGTGCATAAAGCCTATTGGTCCCCTTTAATAATGAAAGGTTCTTTATTGGCATTGATGAATCAATGAAGAACCTTTAACATCCACAGAAACTTTCCATGCAATTTGACATAATATTGACGTTTTTGACTCCACTGATAAACGTGGATGTATTGTGCTAGACTTTAAAGTGTATTGTTCTAATGAGATGTCATTATTGGCCATCTCTTAATGTACATCGAGTAGTGAGTGTTAGAGTCATGCATTAGCTAATGATGCTTGCAATCTGCTCTCGCTGTTCCCAGAGGATATTTAACTGATGTAGGGCAAATCAATCAACACACACACACACACACACACACACTCAATGCTGTAATGTGACTAATGGCTTACTATCAGTAGTATTAGTTTGTCGTAGAACTTTTTGAACGTTGAAATTTATTCCTGTGATCAAAGCTGAATTTTCATTCAATCAGCATCATTACTCCAGTCTTCAGTGTCACATGATCCTTCAGAAATCATTTTAATATGCTGATTTGCTGCTCAAGAAACATTTATGATTATTGTTGGGTCAAACACACAAATATCCCTAAAGGTTTGGCTTC